TGGGGGCCGATGGATGGGCTCGCCGAGCGCCTCCTCGATGCGCTTCACGTGGGGGCCGTTGCTCAGCTTCTCGGCGGTCTCGTCGCCGAGAAACGCGCCCTTGTCCTTGGCGGCCTCGAGGAGCTGCTGGCGGAACCTCGGCATGGGGGCGAACATCTTGTCGCAATTCTGGTCGGTCTCCTCGAAGGCGTCGGAAGTCTCGTCGGTCTTCTCGTGCCGCGTCTTCCAGGAGGCGGGGGCGAGGAACTCGGAGCGGCGGATGTCCTTCTAGCGGAAGATTCGCGCATGGCGGACTCGAGCGCGTCCGCCTTGCGAGTCGTCTCGACTCGAGCGCCGCGCCGATGACGTTGCTCGACCGCTGAGCGCTCGAGCCTCGCAGGTGCATGCCCCCTTCCATGAGGCGTCGGTGGCCTCGCTTCTCGTCTGGCGCATCTCGGGCAGGAGGCCCTCTCGCGCAGGTGCTCGAGGCAGTTGTTGGTGATGTCCTGCTTGCGCGGCAGCTCCTCGTTGTGCTTCAGCACTTCGGCGAAGACTCGGTCAAATCGGGAACCTGCGCAGCTGGGGCCGGCGGCTTGGCGCCGGAAAGTGCCGCCGCCCTCGCGCGGGCCTGGGGGCCAGCCATTCTCGGTGGCGACGAAGCTTCCAGCTCGGGAGGAGCTCCGAAGCGTCCAGCGCGGAGGACTCGAGCCAACGCGGATGTGGGGAGAGGGGCGGGGGCGCAGTGGGGGGGGGGGGGCAGGGGGGGGTTCCATGGACCTGCGGGGCCACGAGCTGCCCGCGGGGGCCCGCGAGAGGCGCGGGCGCATGCGAGCGCCGCCGCAAGGACCTCCGGTGGAGTTCCCTATGGGGTACGAGCCGCGCGTTCCTGACGCGGGAAGGCTTGAGAAAGCGAAAATCCCATAGCCATGCCGCACATTCGTGATTTGGGGCAGCTGGAATGGAGAGAGCTTCGCGGCCCTGCCGCGCGTCGTGGCCTGGGGAAGCTGACGCGGTGAGAACCCCATAGCCCAGCCACGCGTTCGTGACTTGCGACAGGTGAAATGGTGAAGCCCCCATTGACATACCGCGCGTCTGTGCATGATTTTGCTAGTCAGCATGACAGTATCAATTTCGTTGCGCAACTTCCCCCCCCCCGATAAGACAATTCGGCCTTGCAGCCCCTCTCCCGGGGCTGGACCTGCATTGGGCGGGGGTGATAAACTGACAATGCCGAAATGGAGCGTGATCCATCATAGGGGGGCCGCGTTTACCGTCGCGAGCCGCGATGACTGAGTGGGCGCGAATGAAGATGGCAAGCGTTTCGCGATGCAGCAAACAATGGCGAGTGCCGCGCCGAGCGAATCGCTCCAACGCTCCGCCGCTAACGCGGGGGCGCCGGGGCAGCCGCAGGCCCGTGGCCCTCGGCGTCTCCAATGTGCGACCCGTGGGAACCGCCATCCTCTCGCAGCCCAAGACCTTCTAGCCCGGTGTGACAACGCCCGCCGAGGGCCTCAATATTTTGCAGGCCACGAAACCGATGCGACGGAAGTGGCTGGCGAGCTCATCGCGCACCTCGCCCGCCCTGCGCGAGTCGGGCCCTGCGGCGTTGACGTTGTTGGCGCAGGCCAGCAAGACAAGCGCCCCGCCCGCCATTGGCGGCGCGGGGCGGTCATCGCAGAGTACTCTTTCAGCGGGCACTGCCCCGCCGCAAAGACACTGGGGATGGATGGCGCGCCGTGCAACCCGCGTCGCCCAGTTCCAGTCCATTGGCGCCGCGGCGAGGCAGGGGGATGCGATCGCGCGGTCGCGGGGCGCCTCGAGGTCGGGCGGAAGTCCGCGACGCGCCCGCATCAAGGCCGCGTCGAGCCCGGGAAGAACGCAGAAGTCCGGCAGCTCCAGAGCTGTCGCCAGGTGGTAAAAATAATTGGCGAAATCCGCCTGCGCCGCGTAGACCTCGCCCTTCGGGTCGGATTCCAGGTCTGCCAGCTTGCTGTCCGCAGGCGCGTTGACATCGGGGCATTTCGCGAAACTCGTGTTTATCGACCTGCAGCCCAATGCGATGCGGAGCTCCCCCGTCTTTTTGCTAACGAAGATGGGCGTGGTCAGGTCTTGCGGCTCGGTCGTGCAGCGCAGCGCGTTGGTGGCGGTCGTCGGCGAACGTCCGGTCCATGCGCGGGGTGACGGGCGCCTCGCGCTCGCGTCGCTGGCCGAACGCATCCCCTGTCGCCGTCGTTCGATGAGTGAACTCCTGAAGGCGCTAGGCACCGTCGGGGTCGAGAACGTCGAGTGCGGCGGGGGGCTGCTCCTGGGCCTCGGGCGCCGCGATTAGCGCGGCGTCGGAGCTGGCCGCGGCGCTAGAACCCTCCCGCCATCGCAGCAGAGGCCGGGGCCGAGAAGCTCGCGAGCGGCTTCGCCTTCGCGTCGACGAGGAAAAAAGTAGCACTCCGCCGGGTTGAACGCGCCGTAGAACTGTGCGCTGAGCCGCTCGCTGCGCCGCGCTCCTGCACGCCGCTGGCGCGGTCGGCGTCCCTGACAAGCCCCCGCCGTAGATGTCGCGGGGCAGCGATGCGATCGTCGGCCCGGTGCCCCTTGGCGTGGCGCCGCCGAAGGCGTTGGCGCACAGAGTGAGGAAGATGCGAGGTGTCTGGCGTCGCCTCGCGTCGGTGCTCTGCGACGGCTCGGGGAACCGAAGCTGGCGTGCAAAGGGGGCATGCGGGCCCAATCGCTGCCCCCTCGGGCCCCCCTTGCGAGTCGTTTGGCCCCTGCGACATGGGCAGCCGCCGAGCCGACTTCTCTCTTGCCCCCCCTTCCGCGGCTCTTCGACCGCGCGATGGCCTCTTCCCGCGCCTTGCGGCTCTCCTTCGCGATCGCCAGTTCCCGCTTGAGCCGGCCCGCTGCGTGCGCGGACAAGCTCGGTGCAATTGCGGCGCCACCTGCCCGCCGACTCCTGCCCGTGAACTGATCCGCCGAGCTGAAGTCGGGCTAGCTCGGCGAGATGCGCCGCGCCTCCTCGATGGGCGCCAGCCGCCGTGCGAGCAGCTCGATGCAGACGAACGACGGGCTTTTCAGCTGGTCGTGCACCACTGCCGGAGTCGAGGATGCGGCTCAGCGTCTCGTGCTCTTAGACGCTCCTATCTCCTGGCGGCGCCTTCGAGAACCCCGCCCAAGTCTCATGGGCGTGGAAAACGCTGTTGCCATTGCCCCTCGAACTTCATACAGCGCATGACGGTGCGTGGGCCCTGTGAGCTCATGCCTCCAGGGATGGGCCCCCCAGTCGGATTCGCAGCGGCATCATCCCAAATCCTGCGTCGCTCGCCCTGTGCGTCCAGCCTGACGGGCGAGGTGCAGAGGTCGCCCCGCGCGAGCAGCGCCGCGTCGGCGGAAGTGAGCTGTCCCGCGCCGAAGGAGACGCTTGCGCCGCCGCCGATCGACCAACGCGGGGGGCCCGGGGGGCCCCGCAGGCAGCGCGTGGCAGACGAGGCTTCCGACGGCATAAGCAGCTCGATCTTCGAGAACGTGGCAGCTGAGCCCAGCGGGCGGCCCCGGTACTCCTCCAACGCCGACGGCGGCATCACCGCCTGAAAGCCCAGGCGGGATGCCGAGCGCGGCGCCTCCCCCTCCCGCACCCGCGGCGGCGGGCGCCGCGGCGACCTCCAAACCCAGCGGCATCCCCCGCGTTGGCGCCATCAGCAGGCGCGGCGAAGTGGTTGGTTCACCAGCGGCAGAAGCGCGCAACCCACCCCAAACTCGCGGGAGACCGAGCAGCGCGTGGGCGTCGACGACGGCCTGGCGCGGAGGCGCTCTGAACCCATAGATCGTGTCCGACTCCGCGCCAACAGGGATCTCCCGCGCGGAGCTCAGCACGTGTACGTCGCTGAACACCGCGCCTGCAACATAAGTGTCCTCATGCTAGTCGAAGTCAGGCGTCGCCGCGTAGCCATTGCAGGTGCCCGGATTATATTGCCACGGGCGTGGAAGACAAAAACACCTGCCACGCCTTGGTACCGCATGAGGAAGTCGTCACAAGGGTGGAAGACGGCCATCGTGACTGGCTCCCCGCAGTCGCTCGATGGCGCAGGAAGTATATGCGCCCGAACCTGCTCCTCAATCGGCGACGTCGCCGCCCCACAGGAGCCGAGTACCTCGCCCTGCCGCTCGGGCTTCTGCGAGACGCGGGTGGGGAGCCCCCGGAAAGCGCCCCGCACGTAGACCGCGCCGACGAGCAGCGCCATCGCCAGCGCCGCCGCGGCGATGGCCAGCGGCGAAGGGTCCGAGCAGACGCGCTTGGAGGCCGGCGGTGCGGGGCAGCTGAGCACGGGTGAGCACTCTGGGCAAGGCGCGCTCGCCACCCAGAGCGCCAAGAAAGGGGTGAATCCGCGCGAGAGCTTGAGGGCGGCCGCGCGGGCCAGATGTATAGCTGGGAAACTCGAGCCATCTTGTCAATGGACCGATGGGTTAGGACAGCTGGCATTTTTCTCCGAAAACAACATTCCCGAACAACACACATACATGATGACGATGCTGATGATGATGATGATGTTGATGGTGCAGATGATGATGATGATGATGATGATGATGATGATGATGATGATGATGCTCACTATGATGATGGTTGTGGATTTGATGATGGGGAGGAGGATACTGATGTTGTTGGTGATGATGGTGATGAGGGAGATGAATGATATGCTGCTATTGGTGGTGGTGATAATGCTGCTGATGATGATGATGAGGGTGAGAATGGTGGTGATGACGGTGATGATGGCGATGTCGATGACGCCGGTGGTGATAATGATGATGAGCATCATGATGACCATCATGATGGTCATGATGATGTTGCTGTTGTTGATGATGCTGATGGGGATGCTGCAGATAGTGCTGCTGATACTGACGATGATGGTAAGGATGTTAATGATGCTAATGATGGTGGTGGTGGTGATGATGATGATGATGATGATGATGATGATGATGATGCTGATGCTGATGATGATGCGAAGGGCGGGTGAGAGCGGCTGGGTGCCCTCCTCGCACCACCGCGTCAACACCGCTCTGGGGTCGTCAGGGGGCGCCGCGGCCTGGCGGGGAGGGTGGGGCGAAATGGCGGTTGCTATTGGGGACGGGCCTGGAGCTAGGCGGAAAGGGGTGGGGGGCGGGGGCGGCTCGGAGGGGGTGGGAAGGAGGAGGGAAGGGGGCAGGGAAGGGGGGGAAGGAGTGGAGGGGGTTGGGGGGTGGAGGGTCCGCGAGTCGATGTCAACATATGAATTGGATATTGTTTTCAGCGTGCTTAGCCTCATGCTTTCGTGAGGTTCGCCACGGTGCCCCGAAACACGAAGTGGAGTGTCCTCATGTCCTGTAAAGTTGTTTTTTTATTGAATGCTGTAATGGTTGTGGGGGGGCTAACAACCCCTAATCCCAAAGCTCGTCGCGTGTTCCCGCGTGACTTTTCGGATGCAAGGGCCCCCCCTCCTCCCCAAACAGGTCAAGAATGCTCCAACGGGGCTCCAAAAAGAGCCCAAGACTGCCCATTAGGACCTCGAAGCGCACCCACATCGTCCCGAGACCCCGAAGATGATCTCCAAACTGCCGGCGAGGCTACCATAATGCCCAACGATCGCCTCGAGGGCGCCCCCACGGGCCCCAAGAAACACACATCATTGCGTTCCCGTAGTGCTGTTTCCCCGCGTCCTAAGTTGGATCCTTGGTTTCTCTGGACACCCGCGCGGTACAACAATTCCCCTTCTGTCCTCCTCTCCTCCTTTCGCACCCATCATCGCCACTACACCATCACACCACAACCAACATCGTCATCATCATACCCATCATATTCACCATCAGCAGCTTTATCACCATCATCATCAAAAGCAACATCAGTACCACCACCATCAGCATCGTCAACATCAGCATCCGCATCAATATCCTCATTATCATCATCAACATAATCGTCGTCATCATCATGCCCACCATCAAAATCCCACCAGCCCTCTGGGCGTCGGTGGTTTAGGGAGTTTCCTCTTCCACCCCTCCTTCTTCCCCTTCGGGGAGGGGTTTACCCCTCCCCCTACCCCCTTCCCATGGACCTGGACAGGAGGTTTCGCGAGGTTTCGGAGCGTCTAAGATTGCCCAAGTTGACTCCAAGAGGGCCTCAGGGAGCCCTAGGTAGCCTCCAAGATGGCTCAAGATAGCGCAAGATGCCTCGAGATAGCTCCCAATATGCTCCAAGATGCTCCAAGACGCTCCAAGACGGCTCCAAGTGTCCAAAACGAGCCCCACAAGGATGCCCCAAAGAAGCCAAAATGCTTCAGAACCCCTGGGGAAATCAATGTTTTTGGCTTTATCGCCTTTGCGCTTACAATGCCCATCCAGAGACGTCTTGGACCCTCCTCTTGGGCCCTTCGTGCGGGCGGGCGGGGCGCCGCGCGCCCGCCCGCAGTGCCAAAGAGTCCACCAACACGCCCCAAGAGAGCTCCAAGACGCCACCAGGAAGAAGAAGAAGAGGAGTAAGAGGAGGAGGATAAGGAGGAGGAGGAGGAGAACAGCTGCCGATGGTCGGCGCTGTTCGTTCGAGAGCCTGGTGTAGGATGGGCTGGCGGGGATACGTTTTGGTCAACAGGCTCGCGAGGCAGGTCGAACGCCGTCCGAACACTAGTCGGGCGCGACTAGGCGGCAGGACAAGAAAGGCAAGCGAAGCGAGCGAGCGAGCAGCCCGCTGGCACCAACGTCAATCGTCGCCAAAACCATCACCAACGTCACCATCACCGTCACCATCACCATCCGCATCATCATCATCATCATCAACATCATCATCATCATCATCATCACCGTCGTGATCATCATCATCGCCACCGCCATCAATTATCATCACCATCATCATCATCATCATCATCCAACACAACCACCACCACAGACATCACGACCAACATCACCTCCATCATCAACATCAGCATCGCCACCATCGTCATCCTCACCGATATTACAGTCATCACCACAACCACTACCATCACCATCACCACACTCATCATCACCACCACCATCGAAATCACCATCATCACCATCATCATCATCATCACAATCATCACCACCACAAGCACTATCAGCATTGTCACCAGCACCCTCATTGCATTCACCCTCATCAAAATCATCATTACCTTCACCATCACATTCACCAACACCGTCACCATCAGCCAACATCACCATCACAACCACTAACATCATCATCAGCATCACCATCATCTCCATTATCCTCATCATACTCATCATCCTCATCATCCCCATCACCAGCATCATCAGCGTCATCATCATCATCATCATCATCATCATCATCATCATCATCACAATCGCCACCATCATCACGACGACACGCATCATCATCACCATCAGCATCCTCATCATCCCCATCATCATCATCGGCTTCATCAGCATCAGCACCATCAGCACCAACATCAGCATCATTAACACCATCGCCATCATCAGAATCATTAGCATCGCCACCGCCATCATCATCAGCATCATCATCAGCACACCCACCACCATCATCACCATCACCGTCATCATCGTCATCATCAGCATCATCGCCATCATCATCATCACCATCATCATCAGACTCATCACCATCATCATCATCATACGCATCATCATCATCATCATCATCATCATCATCATCATCATCATCATCATCATCATACTCATCATCATCATCATCATCATCATCATCACCACCATCACAATCGCCATTACCATCACCATCATCATCGTCATCAGGATCATCATCAGCATCATTTTCATCAGCATCTTCATCATCGTCACCATAGCGCAAACTCCCACTCACACGCTCACTCACACTCTGCGTGGGAAGTCTCGAGCGGGACCCTCGTCCTGGAGTGAATCCCTAGGAAGTCTCGAGTGGGAGCCTCTCCCGACCTCCATTTTCGAATCCGAGCGGTGTCATCCAAACCCAGTAACTGTCGTCACTTTTGGGTTTCTCAGACCTGAGTCTGGAGGAGGTCTCGAGCGAGAGCCTGGCTTGTGAGTAAATCGCGAGGAAGTCTCGAGCGGGAACCCCCTCCTATGGGGTCCCCGTCTCAATGCGAATCCAAGCGGAGTCATCCAAACCTTGTGGCTATCGTCACATTTGGGCTCCTCAGGCTTGAATCAGGAGGAGGTCTCGAGCGGGAGCCTGCTTATTGAGTGATTCGCGAGGAAGTCTCGAGCGGGGGCGCCCCCCTGTGAGGGCCCCACGTCTATGATCGAATCCGAACGGGTCATCTGAAACTTGTGAATGTCGTCACACTTTGGATCCCCAGGCCGGAATCCAAAAGAAGTCTCGAGCAGGAGCCTGGGTCCTCTCCCTATGGGGTCCCCGTCTCCATGTTAGAATCCGAGCGGGTCCTCGGTTCCCCTGTAGCAGGCAGAATACTTGAGCACCCCGAGAGGGCAAATCGTGGGGACATCTCGATCGGGAGCCTGCTTCGTGAGAATCGCGAGGAAGTCTCGACCAGGAGCTGGGGGGGCACACGTTACCCAGGTCCCACATGCTAAACAAGCCGATCAACACTCACAGGGTCTGCTGTTCTCACAGGTCGCACAACTCCCACATTTGGCCCCACAGGCCTCACAGGTCCTACAGGCCCCACATGTGACCCCACAGGTCCCTCAGGCCTCACAAGTCCTGCAAGCCCCACAGGTCCCACGTCCCACAGGGTTCGCAAGTCCCACAGGTCCCACAGGTCCAACAAACTCTACAGGCCGCACAAGTTTCACGTGCTCCACAAGCCCCACATGCCCTACAAACTCCAGGGGTTCCAATGGTCCCACTGATCCGTCAACTGCCCCAGGTCCCACAGGTCTCAAAGGTCTCAGAGGCCGCACATGCCCCGCAGGTCGGGACTGGTCCCACAAGCCCTGCAAGTCTCAGAAGTTCCACGGGCCCCACAGGTCTCAACGGCCTCACAAGTCGCATCCTGGTTTTCTTGCATCATTACCTTTGTTAGTCGTCGATGGCATCGATGACGATGACTCTCGTAAGCCCTGAAAATCTTATCATGCGGGGTCCTTCCGTCGGAGTAGTTAATGGGCTGGATTTCCATATCCGCCACCGTGCCTATTGGCACGTTGAGGCCTGGTGTGATGCCGAGTGCTGTCTGGTAAGATTTCAGCATTCCGTCTACGTACGGAGTGCCTTCCCCCACTTTTCCAAGACGGCCCACGATGCCTCGAAGACGGCCCAAGACGGCCCCAAAATTGCCCAATATGCCTGCAAGATGACCCCAAACGCCTCCAATTCTGACAGGGCTGGTGGGATACGCGAACCGTCACGAACAGGTCCCCTGACCTGGATGTAGGGAGCGGCCCGAAAACCAAGGTGGCGCCTTGAATCCAACGCGGTCCTTTTTTCGGCGACTTGAGCGCACGCTCCCCAGATCCCCGACGTCGTGTTTTCATCACAACGTCGACCCGCCGAGGCCTGGACCCCTTCCCCGGGACCCGTTTTTCATCCCGAGTCGTTTTCTGACGGTCCCGAGGCCCGGTGAGGGCCTCCAGAGCCGAACATAGCGAAACACCTATCCGGACAAGAACGGGAAGCGCCGCTTTGTCCACAAGGCTTGTCAGATAACGTCTGGTTGAACACACCAAAGATCTCCGCGCTGGCGTGCCACGCTGGTCTGCCGTGCTGGTCTGCCGCGCTGGCCCTGCCTCCTCCCCATCCTTCTCCTCCTCCAAGCTTCGTAGTTGCCAGCGGTTGCTCTGGTTACTCGCTACTTCTCGGAGTCTCTCCGAGCTTAGTGGTTGCCTGTGATTGCTTCTCCAAGGTTAGTGGTTGCCTCTCCCAGCTTAGTAGTTGCCTGTGGTTGCTCTTGTTACTTCTCCGAGCTTCTCAGAACTTGGTGGTTGCCTGCGGTTGCTTGTCCAGGCTTAGCGGTTGCTTCTCCGAGCTGAGTTATTGTCTGTGTTTGCTCTGGTTACTTCTCCGAGCTTCTCAGAACTAAGTGGTTGCCTGCAATTGATTTGGTTACTTCTGCGAGCTTCTCCGAACTAAGTGGTTGTCTGTGGTTACTTCTCCGAATTTAGTGGTTGCTTC